TTCAATGGATTTGTTAAAGAGTGTTGCAATGATTGGTGATAGCACTTGTGACACTTTTTTGTATATAAAGGGTGGTAAGGTATTTAACCCTTTGACTGTTTCAGGCCCCTCTCTGAAACTGTCATTCTATGTCGCCAAATATTCAAAAAAAAAAAAATTATTTTTTCTTATGAAAATGTTAAGATTATTTTTCTGAGTGTTTTAGTCCAAAAAAAAAAATTTTTGCCATCGGTACTTACCGAGATATAGAGCCGTGAAGTTTGCAGAAAATGAGCCGCGTATGGCAACAGCGGCGACTGCCGCTCACCCGGTAAACTTTAGTTTACTTGTATTTGAAGGTTTGTTGTTTTTTTCACTATTTTATTTTTTCACATAACTTATGTGGCCTATGAGACCAAAGTAAGGTGCAATGTATATATATACACTCGTTGTATACAACACAATAAGCACACAAACATAATTATCAATATATTGTTTACAAAACTTGTTTACAAAAACAAACAAACAAACAAACAAACAAACAAACAATTCTTCTTCTTCTTCTTCTTCTTCTTCTTCTTCTTCTTCTTCTTCTTCTTCTTCTTCTTCTTCTTCTTCTTCTTCTTCTTCTTCTTCTCCTTCTTCTCCTTCTTCTCCTCCTTCTCCTCCTTCTTCTCCTTCTTCTCCTTCTTCTCCTTCTTCTCCTTCTTCTCCTTCTTCTCCTTCTTCTCCTTCTTCTTCTCCTTCTTCTTCTCCTTCTTCTTCTCCTTCTTCTTCTCCTTCTCCTTCTCCTCCTTCTCCTCCTTCTCCTCCTTCTCCTCCTTCTCCTCCTTCTCCTCCTTCTCCTCCTTCTCCTCCTCCTCCTCCTCCTCCTCCTCCTTCTCCTCCTTCTCCTCCTCCTTGTCTTGTGTGTGAGTGTGCGGCTTATAATTGTTTTGAGTCAGAAGTCGGCAGCTGTCAAAGTGACATATTGTCTCATTAGTCACTACCCCTACCCCTGTCAAAACAATGGGGTCGGATGCTGCTTCCCCTCCTCCATTCTATCTAATTATCTTTCTCCCTCATTCTATATCTTTCAATCTGTCTCTCTTTCTGTCTGCCTATCTCTGTCTCACAGGTACACATAAATACAAGTATACATAGTGTAAATTACCTAGGATAACCAAGAAATCCAGACAAAGTGCTATACTCTGCTTGAAGATGTGAGTAAACGTGATGACACAGTCTTGTGGCTCTCTCTGAGACAGAGAGCTAGATGGACAGACAGGGAGCTTGACAGACAGACAAATAGACAGACAGAAATGTTTGTGTACCAGCAAAAACAAAGGGAGGCGATGGTCATGTAATATTACCCTCCTTTACGCTCATCAAAGTCAGCTCTTATCAGATGTTATCTCCCCTTATCTTGTCACTGTCATGGGTGGACTTTTTTTTTTCTTGCTTCAAGGGAACAATATTATTACATCTTCTTCCTCCTCCTCCTCCTCTTTTCCTCCTCCTCCTCTTCTCCTCCTCCTCCTCCTCCTCCTCCTCCTCCTCCTCCTCCTCCTCCTCCTCCTCCTCTTCCTTCCCTCCTCCTCCTCCTCCTCCTCCTCTTCCTCCCCTCCTCCCCCTCCTCCTCCTCCATTGCTTTTGGTCTCAAACTCCTCCAAATCATGAAATTGATCTTCACTGACACTTCCATCTGTGTTAGAGCATCACTTGGGAAGAGAAGAGTCCCAGATTTGCTGGGGAATCACATATTTCTTACCACTAGACATGCTGAAAAATGACAACTGAAATGGCATTCCCACAATGTACCACTGGCTCCCCGATTTTTTTTATATGGTGCACACTGACCATGGAGACCCATTCTCTCACATGTGGGCCTAGCAGCTTTCTCCTGCTTGATTTGAAGCTGCTAGAATTTATGCGTATAAATACGTCAGAAACATTGGCTCGTAAGACGTATTTATACGTCGGAAACAGTCAAAGGGTTAAATCTCCTGCCTTGTTTTTTAGTGTGTTGATAATAAGGGAGACTTCGTATGGGTTAGTCGGAGCTAGGAACAGTGTGTTCGGGTAGTTGCCGGTGAGGTAGTCATTTGGTGGGGTATCTGAGCTTGGGATTTTATTGGCAAGGTTTTGTCCTATTGTGGAGAAGAAATCATTGAGTCTGTTTGCTGTTTCTGTTGGTGGGAGTTGGGGTTCATCTGATTTTGCTAATTTTATTTCGCTATTTCGTGATATCTTTTTTGTTCCTAGAATTTCTGATAGGGTTTTCCAGGTCTTTTTTATATCACCTCGTAAGTTGGATAATCTGTTCTCATAATACAATTTTTTTGCCCTTCTTATCAGGTTTGGTTAGGATTGACGAGTAACGTTTTTTTTGGTCTCTGGTTATGTGACCCATTCTGTACTGTTTTTCATATTGGTGTTTTGTATTTATGGATTTGAGAATGCTGGGTGTTTAGCCAGGGACTGTTCAGTCTCTTAGCTGTCATCTGTTTAGTTTTTTTAGGGCAGTGCTTGTTATAGAGGTATTGGGTCTTTTTTAGAAATTTTTAAACATTCGTCAATATTGTATAGATTTCTAGCTCAGTGTGCCAGTCAATGTTTGCTACTGTGTTGTGAAGTTATTAATGGTGCCTCATTGTGAAGTCTGAAGGTGACTTTAGTAGTGTTTGGGGAATTTACCAAGAGTTGTTATGAGGAAAGTCGGGTAGTGGTCTGTGGTATTATCTGTAATTATCCCTGATTTTAAAGGGGATATGGTGTTGGTCCAGATGTGGTCAATAGGGAAACATTTAGTCTCTGTAACTCTTGTAGGTTTTGTTACTGTTGGTAGAAAACATACAGTTACTCATTGTGTTTGTGAATTCAGTAACGTGTGGGTCCTGGTCTTGCAGGAGATTTATATTGAAGTCACCTGAGAGTAGTAAGTGATCTTTGTTCATGCGTGCATCAGTTATCATACTTCCTAGGTTTTGACTAAATTGGCTAATGTTTGACTGTGGAACTCTGTAGATTTTTTATCAATGTGAGAGGTTTTTGTAGGTATTTGGATTTGAATTTGGCTATTATATTTTCCCCCATGTTCACCCTTGTGCAAGTATTAGTGTTACATTCTAGTTGGTCTGAGTAGTATATGGCTGTGCCACCCCCTTGTTGGTCTGGCCTACAGTTGTGTATGGCTGTGTAACCAGGAAGGCATAGACATCTGTACTATCAGGCTTTAGCCAGGTTTCAGTTAGTGTAATGATGGACATATTGGCATGTAAGGAATTTAGTAATGCTATGAGTCATCGTAATGCTTGCTTAAAGATCTGATATTGTAGTTAAAAGATAGTTATGTTGTTTTTTGGCACTGAGAAGTGCCTTTGATTGTTCTGCAGTGTAGTAATTACAGTAACTGTTTGATTCATTTTAAGTCATTAAATAAGAGATTGGGTTTATCAGGATCAATGCTTGAAATCATAAGATTTGTAGTGAATCTATAGTTAGAATTTAAAGTATAAACCAAAGTAAATAGTCTTAAGCTAAAAAATAGCCCCTGAATTATTTAACAAATTTTAAAATAATGAGCTAAGGTTTTTTTTTTTTTTTTTTTTTTTTTTTTTTTTTAAGCTAAATAAAGGAGACAATATAAAAGGGACTAATACAAATATAGTGATGATCAAATAATGGAGCTTGGGAATATGATAGTAGGTAGTACTATAAAGGTAATTCTTTAAAGTTAGAATTATAGTATAAAATAATAATATAAAGGGACTAATATAAGTTGTGGTGAACAATAAAGTGGTAATCAAATAATGAGCTTTGGAAAATAATGGCAAAATTGTGAACTTATTCTACTTTAGCACCTGAGAATAGCACCTTGATTATTTTAACAATTTTGAATATATAAACTAGGGTAGTTATATAAAGCTTTAAAAAAGGAGAAAATATATAAGGACTAAAATTAAGTAATGTAAACAAAGTTAAATGGACAGGTGGTCACTATGAAATAATATTGGTTTAGGAGTAAGATCTGATTTTTAATATTAAATTTAAAATTTAGCAGTTTATTGCACAATAAAAGTAAAAAAAAAATGAGGTAGTTGGTACTAGCTAGCAAAAGATAGTTTTTGGTATTGCAAAAAAGTAATTGGAATATACACTAATTGCATACACAATGAAAAGTGACTAAAAAAAACAAGTAGTGATAAACAAAAATTTAAAAGGGGCAGGTAAGAATAATGAAATTATTAATTTGGAGTAAGATTTGACTTGTAGTTTAAAATTATGAGCAATTAATAGCAGTAAGAAAGAAGTTAGAGTATTGGAGGTAGTTGGCATTAGCTAGTGATGAAAAATAATAAAAATAATTATGCACAATATAATAGTAACGTACACTATATGTACCACAGTATATATGTATTAAGGGCACTTATCTAATCTGTTACAGAAATGTCAGCTTTTCTAAGGAAGGTAGAGAAATCGTGTTCATTTGAGATGGTATAAATTTTGTCCTGTTGATGTTTTCCTTACTAGTATTTTTTCCCCTCTCGCGTGAAACATGGTGTATTTTGTTTTCCTGTTAAGTTTTCTCCCGCCTGGGAAAAGAAGGTTTTGACGTTTTTTTGTTAGACACTCATTTATGTACACTCCATTTTTCATTGTAATTGCTGATTTAATTAGGTCCTTTCTTTTATCGTATGAATGAAGTCTGATCATTATTAAGTGTTTACTTCCTGGTTTTCCTAACAAACGTGTTTCTTTGATTTCATTTTTTTGCACGATGACTTGTACGTGGTTCTGTTTTTATCCTGATAGCAGTTTCTTTGCACTGTGCTTGTGTTATGTCACTAGGAATGTGTGGACTGTTTATTATTACTGCATCAGACAACTTATCTTGTTCAGTTTTGTCGTCTTGGAAATCAAGGTATTCATTTAGTCGAGTGTGCATGTTCAGATTCCAGTCCTTGATTGCTTCTTCAACCTTCATATTTATTGTTGTTATTTGCATATATTGCATATACAGTATTGTCTTGTCTTTACAGCCTGGTTTGAGATAGATGATGATCACAACACCAAGGTCTATGTTAGCAACCTTCCTGACTCAATGACAGAGAATGAATTTATTGAGCTGATGCAGAAATGTGGAATGATCCTTAAAGATGTTGACAGCAACAAGCCCAAAATTAAGATGTATCGAGATAAAGATGGAAACTTCAAAGGCGATGCACTCTGTACCTACATAAAGGTAATACTTCATTTTGCTTCTGCTGTAGCTTATTCCAGTACCTTGAAGAATATTCACAGGGATCCTTTTATTGTGAAATTATTTTCATATTGTTGGTATAACTTTATGGTACACACAGCTCTACTGGCAGACCCACCGCTGGGACCCTGATGGTCATCAGGTCAAACACAATTTTTTACTGGTTTTGAATCCTGGAAGTGGGAAGTACAGTGTCTGCACTTTAAAGAGGGGTTTGGGATATTTGCGGGTTTAGTGACATCTAACTGTTGTATCTCAGTGCCTTTGGCAAGACAGTGATAGTGTGAATAATGGTAAAAGTGTTTCTTCTTTTTTGGGGTCACCCTACCTCAGTGGGAGATGGTCAGTGTTTTAAGAAAAATAACTTTGTTTACTAAACTTTATTGTTTTTACTTTCATATTTTTTAAACAAAACTGATCATCTCCCACTGAGGCAGGGTGACCTGAAAAAGACGAACCCATTTTATAAAGTTCTTTTTTTTTTACATTTAGTAATGTATACAGGAGAAGGGGTTACTAGCCTTTGCTCCTGGCATTTTAGGCACTTCTTATGACACACGTAACTTAGAGAGGAAGAATTCTTCTCACATTCCCCATAATTATTTGATCTAATATTTTCATGCTATAGGTAGTAGGGTGGTAGATAGCAGCAACCATGCAGGGAGGTACTATCATCCTGCCAAGTGAGTGTCAAGTGGAAATCTGTAATTGCTTTACGTCATGGTAGGATTGCTGGTGTCTTTTTTCTGTCTCATAAACATGCAAGATTTCAGGGAAGTCTTGCTACTTCTGCTTACACTTAGGTCACACTGCACATGCATGTACAAGCATATACATGTATATACAAACCCCTCTGGGTTTTCTTCTATTTTCTTACTAGTTCTTGTTCTTGTTTATTTCCTCTTATCTCCATGGGGAAGTGGAACAGAATTCTTCCTCCGTAAGCCATGCGTGTTGTAAGAGGCGACTGAAATGCCGGGAGCAAGGGGCTAGTAACCCCTTCTCCTGTATATATTTCTAAATGTAAAAGGAGAAACTTTCGTTTTTTCCTTTTGGGCCACCCCGCCTCGGTGGGATACGGGCCGGTGTGTTGAAAGAAAGAAAGATATCTTCATACTTTTCATTATTGGGGGAATACTAAAACTATAACTTTCCCATCACATTAGTCTCATGGTTTTCCTTGATATGTCAATGACAGACTGATTTGATTGCTTTGTTATGCAACCTGTAACCATCCTGTGGGTGGTAGTCAAAACATAGATGCACAAAATTGGACCAGGAACTGGATCTGAACAGTTTTTTTTTTGGGTAACACACTTTGGTTATTGAAGTTTGTATACTTCTCTCAGCTACACTATGTTTGGAGAGGAAATCTTGCGGTACATTTCTGTTTTCCTGAACCATTATCAAGTACAGAATCAAGGATACTTTGCTTGATTTTTGGTAATAAAGAACTCATGTGAAAAAAAGTCGTTCAACATTTCTTGGACATTTTTACATTCAGGTACATAATGATGTATGATGTGAGAGTAATTCTGAAAAAAATTTACACTAAACTGTCATATCTGTAAGCCTCTAAGGGTATATGGAAAAGGGGAGTGGATCAGAATGTGGCAGTGCCAGTACTTTTATATGATGTGAAGTATGATCTTCAAAAGTTGCAGCACAGAAGAGTGGAAGTAGGAAGTTGTCATGATTAAAATCAGTGTGTTTGTGTGAATGATATTTTAGAGAATAAGAAATTAAGAAACAAAAGAACATGTGAGGAATAATTTCAAGAGTAAAGTAGAATTTTTTATGTTTTAAGCATGTAAGAACAGTAAAATAAGTTATATTTGCTAAGATGTATAAATCTTAGATAGATGGAAGGAGGCATAGGGAACATTGCGATCTGCTTTGCTAGTGCAAGTTGTTGTTATAACATAAGTGATTAGTTAAATGATGGTGAAAATGTTGAACAATGATGAAAGTTTTTCTTTCTTCTTGGGTTATTCTTTCTTTTTGGGTCACCCTGCCTTGGGGGGAAATGGCCAATGTATTACAAAAAAAGTAATCTTTTGGTAATTTCTCAAAAAAAAAATTATTCAAAACATACATATTTTTATTTTGTCTTAATAAAACAAAGACTATAACGGCATTTTCTTTACATTACTCAATCAAGAAATTAGTTGTATTATAGTTGAAACCCTTATAAGACACCCCTTTCAGGATTCCATCAGTAAGAAAATTTAATCTTTATTGCATTTTAATGATAAGAAAAATATCTTGCTGCCTTCACAATTTTATTGTGGATGAATTTCATTAGTAAACTTTTTTAAAGCATTTATTTAGTGTAAACAATTTCATTTGGGTCATGAACTCTGGTCTGACGTGCCTCACAGATGTAGGGGCCTCATAGTGGTGCAAAGTGTATGCCCCAGTGATAGTTAGGGGCTGGAGCCCAGGTAGACACAGTGCCGCGAGATGCTGTAGGAAAGTCCTGTGGTCATGAAGCCGTTGTATGGCATAAACCTCCGCTGAGGAGCCCCACGTCCACTGCCTGGTAGACCAGTTGTATATACCTCCTACCCATTTTGTTAAGTGTAGCTGTGTTTCCCACAGAAAAATATATAATTAAATCATATTGTTGAAGAGCAGGAACTGGTACCAAGTACAATATAGCAAAAGTACAGTACAGTATGGTACAGTATAGTACAGTTCAGTACAGTACAGTATAGTATAGTACAATACAGTACAACACAGCACAATACAACACAATACAGTATAGTTTGTTGAGACAAACACTATTCAAGGATACCTTTTGTCTTCAAACAACCTTCTGCTGGTACAAGCTTTATAAAATAGAAATATACAAAATATCACTTTGGGGGTGTGTAGTAGGTTGATGGGGAAGAGTTATTGTTAACATCATGGTGCTCAGAGGCTAATGTAAAAGTGAATCCCTTTTTGATGGTGTTGAATATTTTTGTGTTCATGACATTATCTTTCACATGTTTTTCTTATTTACTTATCAACATTGAGACCCAGCTGGGCCTCTCCTCTAATTGTTTTTTACATATGTTGTGACATACCTTTATATATTGGACTAGAGACAAACTTATTTGTTGTCTTTTAAACCAGGCTATTGCTGTTGTATCACACACATGCACACACACACACAGGTATATTACAGGCCCATTGACTTACATGGCCATAACAGCCTTGTTGATCTTACACTTATAGGATTTTTCCTTTTAAAATCTAGTACTATTGGCTCTGGCAAAAATTTCTTACATCTAGTAATAGAAATTTGAAGAATTTTGGGGCACAGATGTTGAAAGTGCTTTCTAATTGTGCCTTTGGTATTCCTGCTCTATACTGAGTTTACTCTACACTTCTTCATATATCTTTCACTCTGGTAAGTTGTTATACCAGTGTACAGATTGGGGACCTGACCCTAAAGTATTTCCATGCATAGCATATATTATTAAGTATCTCTCTCTTTTCCATTTTAGAGAGTATGTATGAAGTGCTTTAAGGCACTGCTAGTAGTTCAGATGTTTTATTGATTCTTTACAGTCAGCAAATGATCTCTGTATTTCTCTCCTTCTTTGAAAAGAGCTGTGAACATAGAACAATATTCCAGAAGTGAGATGATAAGTGATTTCAGTGGTACCATCATTGGCATGGCTTCTTGTTTTGAAAGTTTCCTTAATCCATTCTACCCCTTGCTGCATTTATCTTGTTATATTCTCTAAACATAGGCAGTCTAACATCATTAGTACTATACACATATGACCTGCACAAAGGAGAATGAAACTTATGATGACGTTTCATTCTCCTATGTGTGAGTTATTTGTGTATTGTTCCAGTCACAGTATTATGTCTTTTTATTCATCATTGTTACTAAATCTTTCACATCCCTTTCATTCTCTTTGTTTTGTATTCTGTGCTCATTTTGTTTTCCTTCCAGTACTTCAGGGATTTTGTCATAGTGGTCTGTTACCTGTGAGAGGCAGGAACTTCATGCACTAAAGCCATGTTGACTGGGTTGAACAATTCATGCTCTATTATAAAATCAGTCAGATGACATTTTGGAGCCCCACATAGACTTTCATGCTGTGAATGTGTAATGTTTTGCTAGAACTCTGCTGCTGCTCTTGTAAAGTGCCAGTTATATCTCTGTGTTATAGAGACTTTTAGATTTCAACTGGTGCCTGGTGCCAGGTGCATGGGTCTATTGGAAGTTAGTTTTTCAGTTTTTAATTACAGTAATAATAATAATAATATTATTAATCTCCATAGGGAAGTGGAACAGAATTCTTCCTCTGTAAGCCATGCTTGTCGTAAGAGGCGACTAAACTGCCAGGAGCAAGGGGCTAGTAACCCCTTCTCTTGTATACATTACTCAGTATAAAAAAGAGAAACCATTGTTTTTCTCTTTAGATCACCCTGCCTCGGTGGGATATGGTCAGTTTGTTGAAAAAATAATAATAATACAGCAGGCATGTGTGAGCATGTTAGATAGGAGTGAAGGGAGACAAATGACTTTTGGGATCTGACGAGCTGTTGGAGTATGAGCAAGGTAATATTTTGTGAAGGGTTTCAGAGAAACCAGTTAGCCAGTCTTGAGTCCTTGAAGTGGGAAGTACAATGTCTGCATTCCAAAGGAGGGATTTAGAATACAGTGGACCCCCGGTTAACGATATTTTTTCACTCCAGAAGTATGTTCAGGTGCCAGTACTGACCGAATTTTTTCCCATAAGAAATATTGTGAAGTAGATTAGTCCATTTCAGACCCCCAAACATTCACGTACAAACGCACTTACATAAATACACTTACATAATTGGTCGCATTCGGAGGTAATCGTTATGCGGGGGTCCACTGTATTTCCTATTTGGAGGGACATCTAAACTGTCATATCTGGGTACCTCTGGCAGGACAGTGATAATGTGAATGATGGTGAAAGTGTTTCTTCTTCGGGTCGCTCTGCCTTGGTGGG